GGCATGCCGACATGCCAAAGCAATGCTCCACACTCTCAGGGCTCTCGGGGGTCAGCCCCAATGGTCCTGACACCATTGTGCTAGCGCAGTGGTTGGCAAACTCATTAGTCCACAGAGCCAAATACCAACAGTACAACGAATGAAATTCCTTTTGAGAGCCAAATTTTTTAAACTTAAACTTCTTCTAATGCCACTTCTTCAAAACAGACTCGCCCAGGCTGTGGTATTTTGTGGAAGAGCTACACTCAAGGGGCCAAAGAGCCGCATGTGGCTCACGAGCCGCAGTTTGCCGACCACGGTACTTGCGGAAGCTGACCCCGGTCCTAGAGAGCTCTGTTGGGATCCCTTGGAAAATGAGAGCCACATACTGGGTCCAGGAACACATACATCCACTGGCAATCTTTCCAGTAACAACACAGAAAGTCACATCAGTGGAGGGATAATAGAGAATTAGAAACTGAAACGTGAAAATGTTATGTCTAGAGATTTAAAATATTTTTTTAAAACCTTGTAAACAGTGGATAGAGCTTCGGCTTGGGGACTGAAGGGACCCGGGTTTGATTCCGGTCAAGGGCATGTACCTTGGTTGCGGGCATATCCCCAGTAGGGGGTGTGCAAGAGGCAGCTGATCGATGACTCTCTCTCATCGATGTTTCTAACTCTCTATCTCTCTCCTTTCCTCTCTGTACAAAATCAATAAAATATATATTTTTTTAAATAAAAAAAATAAAAAATAAAACCTTGTACAGCAGGAGGGAAAAGGGGCTGAGTGACTGTTTAACCGTTTAACACTGGCTCTGAGCTTACTGCTCACCACCACAAAAAAGGTACAACTAGCTGTATTTCCAAAAACTGTCCCCCCAAATGCATAACCTTTTAAAGGGCCACCAGGTATGTATTCTGACCCAGAACTCAACTCCCTCTGCGTTAAATGGTACCAAAGGAAGTGATGCTTCGGTGGACCTCTCCCTTCTTGTACTATGCCTCAAAGTTTATCCCAGGCAGAATGGCCCTCCCAAACCACATTCATCTGACTGGCAGGTGTGTGCCCTCGTGAACTTACTATAGTTTTCATGGTGATCTCTGGACTGTAGAGCTGCTGTCCACAAAAACGTCCCTACAATCAGCCTATCAATGTGCCCAGAATCTGTACAAATTGTGGACAGAGTCCCCACAAAGCTCAGTGGTGGATATCGCACACTCCTTTGCAAGGCGCATCCCTGAGAATCTGATGGAGCTCGCTGAGATTTGTTCAATTAGCAGTAGAGCCCATCCTTGTAGGTCCACCCTCAGCCAGGCCTCTAGCCTCTATACTCAGAACCTAACACCAGCCAGCCAGCCCTACCCTTCCTGGATCTCCACTCAGAAAAGCACCCTTCCCTGGACCGGCCCCCATCACCCCGAACACACCAGCACCTCAGATGACATGGCCCCAACCTAAGAGAGAGCTCACCCCTGGAGATGGCTGTACCTCAGTTGGCGAGGCCACACCCAGGAGGAAGATGAGGTAGGCAATGTGCCCTCAGCTTCACTGTATGTTGAAACTGGACATTGAGATTTTGCCTTCCCAGATGACCTCCACACCGGGAGGGAAATGACCACGGTGACTATTAACCTCAGAGCTGAGTTGCAAAAATGCCTCCAGTCAATCGACCCTGAAAACCCATAGCATACTGTTCTTCTGAAATCGCTAGCTGCTTGCTTCAAAACCTTGCTTCTACCAAAACACTTGCTAAACTTGGAGTAAGTCCCGCTGGTAAGATTAGACATCATTTCACCTTTAGGGCAAGCCACACAATGTTTTCTTGTGGAGAGCGGCTACAGTGTTTGGACAGGTTCAAGCCTCGGGCTCATGAGAGGGCACATTCCTCTTGTGGCCACGTGCAAGTCCCCGCTTGCAGGTCAGAGCCCTCCCAGCGCAATTGCACCCAACAGCTATAGTTGTCAGCTTAAACCTGTGGTCCGGACACGTGGCCCCATGTGCCTGAGTGATGTGGGCTTGATAGAGTTCAGGTACATGTAATTCAGTGGGATTGAAATCCATGAGAATGTTGTAAACATCTTGACCATGCCCTTACTTTGCCTCGTGGCATCTGGCTGTAAAATCAAGACTTGGTTTGTAGTCCATGGTGCTGTCGCTAGCTCTCCAACAAAGGACAGAGTCCCACCCAGACCAGCTTTCATTCTCTTGTCTGTCTTTTCTCAATCCTTCACCGCCCCTCTCAGGGTCACTGAACCTGGCTGAGCTGGCGCAGCACGTAAGGTGTCCTGGGGCTGAGCATGCCATGGCCGTGCCGGCTTGCCACATATTCTAACCACAATAAAGCATTTCTTTGCAACAACCGCTTAGCCCACGGTTAGGGCCGTCTTGGTGCTCTGATCACTGCTCACTGAACTAGATTACAACTGTATTCATACAAACCTCCAAGTCAGCAGTGTAAGCCTTGCAAGCAAAATGATATTGGATCTGCCACCACACAGGATCAGACCTAAGGGTCCGTCACTATCCCACAGTTCTTCCTAGTGATCAGCACCTTGTGTTAATTTCCTCCAAAACACCACAAGCCTCAGGCTAAACCAAAATGTTAATCTAGATCCCAAACAGGGTAGCCTGTTATAACTTTACAATAAATATCTAACTTCTCAGAGACAGTAGTTTGAAGGACAATCCTCCTATCTAATAAAGAGGGAATATGCTAATTACCCTCACAACATTGCAAAGATGACAGTGCCCACAGCCAATAAGGAGGGAATATGCTAATTAGTTGTCCTGTCCTCAAAGATGGTGGCACCCACAGCCAATAAGGAGGGAATATGCTAATTGACTACCCCACTCTCAAAGATGGTGGTGCCTACAGCCACAAGATGGTGGTGCCAAGCCCCCTCGACCCCACTGGGGTGGCAGGAACACTGCAAGGCTAGGCCTGCCCCTGGCAGGCCTGGTCGCTCCATGTGCCTGCCTTTGGAGTCCCCCAGTCCCCTCAGCCCCCCAGCTGCCTAGGGCCGGCCCAATGAGCAGACAAGCCTCAGATAGCGGCTGCCCAGCCACCCAGGACAGACCAAGGCTTGTGCTGCCAGCTGTGGCAGCAGCAGAGGTGTGATGGGGTGTTGTCTTCCCCTGATCGCCTAGTCGCCTCCCACCCCTGAGGGCTCCTGGACTGTGAGAGGGGGCAGGACGGGCTGAGGGACCTCTTTTCATGCACTGGGCCTCTAGTCTATATAATAAAAGACTAATATGCAAATTGTCCCCTTGACCAGGAGTTCAACAGGGAGTTCAATCAGGGGGTAGGGTCAGCCAACTGCCCATAGCCCCTCCCCTAGCTGGCCTCACCCAATCAATCTGGGCCAGGCTGCCTGGCTGGCCAGATCCCGCCCTTGTGCAAATTCATGGACTGGGCCTCTAATAATTTTTTTTCTTTTACATTTTTTTATTAAATTATTATCTGTGTAGACTTCTAATAATTATTTAAATGGACAAATTCTATTTTTCCTTTTATTTTGCAATCATTTTGGTTAGCTCCCCAGTGGCATTTTCTAAATACTACCTGCCCAGCCACATTGGCTTAGTGGTTGAGCGTCGACCTGTGAACCAACAGGTTATCGACCTAACCGAGCCAGGAGGTCACGGTTCAATCCCAGTCAGGGCATATGCCTGGGTTGTGGGCTCGATTCCCGATCCTGCAGGAGGCAGCCAGTCAATGATTCTCTCTCATCATTGATGTTTCTATCTCTCTCTCCCTCTCCCTTCATCTCTGAAATCAATAAAAATATATTTTTAAAAAAATGAAGGCTATCAACTATACTGGAACACAAAAGGCTGGCCCTTACCCTGTATACATACTCCCTGCCCCATAATTATAAATCATGTCTCATTCAAATTCTATTGTGGACCTGACTCAAGAAGCCAGGAGAAGTGTACATGGCCCTATCCAGTCTGTAAGCTATCCAGGGAGATGATCCCTATTACTCACCGTTACATTATGTACCTTCAGGTAAGATGCAGTGAGAAGACTACATCACTTCTGTGGTATTCTTGCCAAAGTGTATAACCTGAGTTTAATCAGGAGAAACGTTAGACAAACTCAAATTAAATATGTCTATAAAATAACTGGCCAGTACTCTTTAAAAGTTTCAAGGCCATAAAAGACAAAGACTGAAGATGAAAGACAATAACTGAGGAACTATCCAGATTAAAGAGAGACAACAGCTAAATGCAATTTGTAATCTGGATTGGATCCTCGCCCATAAAAGGGATATTAGTGGAAAAATTTATGAAATTTTAATCAAGTCAGCAGATTAGTTGCCAGTGTGTCAGTTTTCTGTTCTTGATGATTATGCTGTGAAAATGTAAGACATTAATAATTGGGAGAGCCTATTAATTGCATATGCTCCGTTTTTTTCTGTGCCAACAGAATCCACTTGGGAAAACATGTAAAAGTGCTACGGCCAGTAAAAAGCTCAGCCGATGACTGAAAATCTTCAAAAGGACTGACGCATTAGGATGGATTCTAAAGTTTGGAGGTTAGGGGAAAAGGAAAGTGGGGGGTGTGGGAACATAAACTGTGCACCTATGGATGAGGACAATGGGGGGTGGGGAAAGGGCAGAGGGTGGGGTGGGAACCTGGCAGAGGGGAGCAATGGAGGGTGGGGGAAATGAGGAACATTTGTAATAACGTGAACGATAAAGATTTATTAAAAAGTAATAATAAATAAATAAAATTTAAAAATAAATAAAGATGCAATATCAGTTCCTAAATCCAAATCTAATAAAACTTATAGATATGAAAAGAAAAAAATAAATAAAAAATAAAGTTTGGAGGTCAGAGCAGGGAGCCAGGTTCCAACGCGCCCGCATTCGGAGGACACGCCCCCTCCCCGCTAGGACGGCGGCCCGGGAGCCTGCTGGGGGCCAGGGAGCCTGCTGGGGGCGTGGCTTTACGACGTCACGACGTGCCCCGCCCCCTTACGCCGCGCACCGGGCGGCCCGGAGGCTTCCGGCGGCGCCGCCGCCATCTTGCAGGGACCTGCGGCCGAGTGGGAGCGGAGCGGGGCGGCCCTTGCTGCCGACTCTTCCCTCCTCCCGCCACGCTCCGGCCCGCGGGCTAGTTGGGCCTTCGGTCCTCGAGGCGACACGTGTGTCTTGCGTAGCTCGGGGCGCGCCTGGCCGACATGAGTGATGTAGAGGAGAACAACTTCGAGGGCAGAGTGAGTACAAAGCCGCGGGAGCCGTCTTCGCGACGGCCGTGCTCGGTCTCCGGGGCGCGCGGGGAGTTTGGCGGGAGCCCGTCGGGGCGGCTTCCTCAGCCCCGCGATGGCTCTGGGCTCCCCTCGGGCGGCCCTGTCCCCCCCGTTTTGGGGGAGACGGACGGGTACCGGACTCCGAGGCGGGCCCGCGGCGGCAGCTCCGGGCGGACAGCGGTAGGTGCCCGGGGCTCGGGGCCGCCCGGGGAGCTGGGCCGAGCCTCCCGGCTCCGCTGCGGTGCGCGGCCGCGTCCATGAGGCGGAAACGCCGGAGGGGGCGGCGGGACGAGCCCGGACCGGGGCAGTCGGCGGCCGCGGCGGCCTTAGCGCCTCAGCCGGGAGCGGAGCGGGGAGCGCGCCGGGAGCCTCCCCCCGAGGTCCCCCCCAATGCCCCCCGAGGTCCCCGCGATGCCCCCCGAGGTCCCCGCGGTGCCCCCCGGTGTCCCCCCAGATGCCCCCCGAGGTCCCCGCGATGCCCCCCGGTGTCCCCCCAGATGCCCCCCGAGGTCCCCAGATGCCCCCCGAGGTCCCCGCGGTGCCCCCCTCTCCTCCCAGCACCGTGCGTGTGGGTAACGCTCTGTAACGCCTTGTTTTTCTCTTTCTGGTGTCCTGGATGTTGGGTTGTGTTTTCCCCCCCTCCCTCTTCAGTAATCTCACCTCCTAATGCTTTTTCTTCCTGTGTGACCTCTCACCTAAACACTGACCGCTCCTTTTACAGGTTTTTGCGGTAAAACAAACAAAAAGTGTGTGTGTGTGGGGGGGGGGTCTTGTGTCTTAATCTTACGTAACTGAGGGGCTTTCTTGGCTCGGTGTTTTTTAAAATAGCTAGTCCGTGGGTACTGTTCTCAGTCAGCAAAGAGGGCTCACGGGTCGATGCATGGAAGCATCGCAAGGACGTGTGTGTGTGATTCTGGGCTTCCCTGCGCTGGGAGGTTCGTGGGGGTCGGAGTTGTGTTTCCGAAGCTAGCGCTCGCGGTGGGCGTGGGTGGGAGGGAGGGAGCGTGGAGCCCTGGACACGCGGCCCCCGGGCAACGCGTGTGCCGCGTGGTGCTGGTGTCCTGGGCAGTCGCCAGGGAAACGCCTTCGGGCTGTGCTGGCCGCAATGAAGTTTGTCTCTTAGAAGCTCATAACAGCAACACCTGGAGCCAGACCGTTAAGGAGGAAAGAGGTTTAAATGGATTATAAACAAAAAGACTTTTTAATTCCTATAAGATTGGATTTTTAAAAAAAATATGATCTGGGGGATAGATATAAATGGGTAAATGGCTCACTTTTTAGGAGCACTTTCTTGAAAAGTCCCCGAAAACTTTTAAAAGTCGTTTGGTGGTAGTTGTAAGCTATTAGGTAGGTAGTTATTGGAAGGAATTCTGCTACCCATTAATCTTTTCTTCGATTATTTAGTACAAAAAGAATTCTTTTTGTTAATGTTTGGTTTGGTTTGGTTTGTGGGGAAGAGGACTTGATCTTTGGGAGCTTGTTTCCCTTAAGTTCTTAGTTTAACATTCTTGTCACCTTACCCACCTAATAGATGTAACATTCCCACCCAGTTTTAATCTAAAATGTATGTAGGCATCAATTTGCTGTAATAGGAAAAGGGTTTTTACCCTTGTATGGTGTTTGTGGCCATAGGAAATATTTTTTCCTGGTACCCGGTATTTTAGTGTGGGTGAACTCAGACTAACATCCATGCTCATGTGTTACTTTTTTTTTTTTTAATATACTTTGAGGTCATTGTTTTATTTGTAATTGGTTAAGGAATTAGAAGAATGCCAGCTTTTCTGAGGATTTACATTTTCTTAAAGCAATTCACTAGTGCTTTTGGTTTTTAAAGTACAGTGATTATCTGCTAACCACAACCAGCAGTTTTTATAGAATACAATTGTTTCCTTCTCTTTGTATCTAAACTTATAAAGGCTCAAAAAATGATTTCAAGATGTTTAAATAATTGTTATATTTCAAACTTTTTTACTAAAATAAGTTACAGAAAACTGACAGGTCAGTATTCAGATTTCATTTGCTTTATCTACAGAATAATCTACAGAATAAACAGCACATATTTACCCCATCTTACTGAAAAGATATTTAAACTTAGCAACTTTCTAGAGCACATGTGTCAAACACAAGGCCCGCGGGCCAAATCCGTCCCGCCAGGCCTTGCAATGTGGCCCGCACCTCGCTGTCATCACTGCACTCCGCTGCGTTTCCATCACAATGACAGTTTATGACTGTTCAGTAAACCATTCGGCCCGCGATTTAGGCTGGATTTTAGATTTTGGCCCCTTCTCTGATTGAGTTCGACACCCCTATTCTAGAGAGTTCAGAATACATTTTTAAAAATAGAATCTATACCCAGTCCCCCCAAAATGTTGACATACGTTGTCATTTACTTCTCACACTAATTTTTTTAAAGGCTGCAGTACTCTGACCATTTTAGAAATTAAAAAATGAGGCCCAGTCCGGCCAGTGTTGCTCAGTGGTTGACTATTACTGTGAACCAGGCCTAGGCACATGCCATGGTTGCAGGCTCCCTCCCCAGTAGGAGGGCGTGCAGGAGGCAACCTATCAATGATTCCCATCCTTGATGTTTCTATCTTCCTCTTCCCTTCTCTCTGAAACTCAATAAAAGTACATTTTAAAAGTAAAATACTGAGGCCCAGAAGACCATGCAGCCAGGAATCTGAGATGTACAAGTCCCAGGTATTCGCTCATACAACACTATATTGTTTACTTTTTTTTTTTAAGAGTGCATCTACTTCAGTGCCTCTGAGCCATCAGTGGATTTTCCATTATGGATTAATGTCTCTTCCATTTTAAAGTACTGGAAAGAAAATATAATTGACTGAATTTAGTTATAAGTGACACTAAGACTTAGCTAACCGAAATTCTCTTCTACCTGAGGTGAAACTGTTGAGAATCTGCTGCTGCCTTTTTACTATAAAGGCCAGATGTTTTTCAGGGGGGAAACTTTGAAGTCTTATTTGGGATGACTTGACAGCTCAAATCTGGGTAAAATACTTAAGCAAGTGCTGTGTGATAGAATAAATAAGGAATTCAGAAAATGTGCCAAGCAGTTCTGTGAGCTACTGGAAAGGGAAGCTCTACCTGCCATGTGGAACTTCCTTCCTTTGGGTCTTTTGGTAAGGGAAAGATTGTAGGGATGTGACAGTGAGGGAGGAGATTGCTGGGATAGTGGAAGATGATAGATTGACTAAATATGCAGTCAGATAATGGAGGGTTTTGAATTCTAAATTATGAATTTGGATTTAATCCAATATGCAGTGAGGAGCCATCTATGGATTAATTCTGGGAGTAGCATAATGAAAGGGATTTTAGCAAAGAATAAAGAGACTGGTACAGGAAGAGCATCAGGGCACAGTTTAAATATTTTATTTAGGCCTGCCTGGAGTGGCTCAGTGGTTGAGCATGGGCCTATGAACCAGGAGGTCATGGCTCAATCCCAGCCAGGGTACTGGAAGGAGGGAGTCAAAGGAGGCAGCCTATCAATGATGCTCTCTCATCATTGGTGTTTCTACCTCTTTCTCTCCTCCCCCTCCCCCCTTTCCTCTCAAATCAATAAAAATATATATTTTAGGAAGGAAGTTATACAGGACATCAATGTAATGTTAAGAATGAGACATTTTTAAGAACTCCAAGATAATAGTGGTACTCTTAAAATAGGTTCTTTAAAACAATTTGCTTGGGACATTTATATCATGTTAACAAAAGTATTTTAAGTGAAAATGTCTTTTGGAGCTGGGAGTTGGCACTTCAGCTGTGACTTTGTGGGTGGATCATAAAAAGAATGAGTTCTGTGTTTCATACAGCTTCAACTAAAAGTAGGATTCAAAAAATCTTAGTGTCCTTTAGAGGAATTAAGGAGAATGAAAATTAAGTTTTACTTATTTTATTCCTCTCTTTTTTTTAATGAAACTTAGAAAAATATTGAGTCCAATTATATTCTCATACAATGGCCCCAGTGATTTTAATAGAGGTTAATGATTATTGTGTGGAAGTCCATCTTATAATTCCACAATTGTCTATGCTTTAAATAGGAAAAATAATACTTTTTCCTGCCTCTTGTTAGAGCTTACTCCTACTTCCTTAACCGGCTCCTAGGAAGGGAGGGAGGGGGGGGGAGATACACACACACACACACACACACACACACACGTGATTGACTAGATAATACAAATGAAGAGCAAAACACAAATTCATCTGTACCAATTTGGAATTAAAATTTGTGGATATTTTGTTGAACACAGAAATAGAAGAAGATTTATTTCTTCTCTGAAACCTGGTTTGTAATAGGGGCGATGACTACACCATTCAAAATCCAACTTGGTGATTGGCTCCTTTTTAAAAAAACAAACAAAAAAAAACTTAAACTCGGTGTTTTACTTTTCTGTTGATGAAGTTTTAAAATAATGAGGGTTTAAAATTATATAAATAAATTCCTATTTTATATATAAAATGTCAGTACTTTAGCTTTCAGTTCAGCCTTTTTCAGACATTTAATTTCTTCTCTCACATCAACCTATTAGAAAAGCATAAAGCTTCCTTTCTTGTAGTAGGGGTTGTATTAAACGCAAGACAGTTTTCTTTGTCTTGGATTTTCTTCCTATAATTAAGTACTATCATTATCCATTTTTTTTAATTAATTGATCTGAGAGAGAGGAGGTAGAGAAAAACAGACACCAATTTGTTGTTCTACATATTTATGCATATATTGGTTGATTCTTGTATGTGCCCTGACTGAGGATTGAACCTATTGGGACAGCACTCAAACCAACTGAGCTACCTGGCAAGGGTCATCCAATTTTAATGCTCAGATTTTTATATTTGAGATTTCTTTCACTGAAGGGCACTAATTTGCTCAATACAAGTAGAAGGCAGGATTTTTAAAAGGAGCAATGCAACTAATCATAGCCACAGAGCATAACTGTAATTTTACAGATTTGTTATAGATGCTTCTTAATATCTATCATTTCTAAAGAGAATAGCAGTTTTGGGACCTGAACTAATATTAAGAGATTTAAATATTTAGGAATGAGCCCCATTAAAAATACAAATAAACTTTATGGACTTGATTTTGTAAATGAACTAGTTATTTACCTAAGATATATAACAAGTGTGAAATAGTCACGAATAATCAGCATAATATTTTTGTAAAACTTGCCAGTGTGAAAACTTTGTAATATCAGTGGGTGCTTAGGTATCAAATAACTAACCCTGGAACCTTCATAAAAAGTATATATTTACGTGCTGAATTAATACTGATAATCTTATGTCATAAGAGATTTAGCAAGACAAGTGGAGGTGAGAAAATGGCAAAGATCAGATGGGGAAAAGAATCAGTAAGCCCTGTGAAAGAAAGTTGAGGGGAATAATGGACGGAAATATGGTTTCCCTTCCTCTAAGTTACTGCCATGTATAACTGTGACTAGGCCTGACTTATCTGACATAGAGGGAAAAGTTAACTTTTCCTTGAAACTAAGGCCATGTAGTCTTATTCAAGATTCACAGTACTTCATGACATTAGAAGATGAGAACATAAGTAGAGAGTTCTATGACAAGTTCTTATTTTAGTAGCTTGCTTTTAGTTGCTGTTTACTGGCTTTATCATATCTAGTTGTTTTATAGTTATTATAAAGTTGTTTTCTATACCTTTGAGGATTTAATTGATCATGGCATATAAGCTGACATGTTTATGAGCCACATTTAAAATATCTGTGAGCCTTTGCAGATACAAAGACCACTTTAACCTCACTCAGAATACATCATAGGTATGATCTTAAAGAACGGGAAATCATTTAAAAATAGCTAATGTTATGAGCATTTAGGGGTTTTTATTTTTATTTATTTGTTTATTTATTTATTTTAAGGAATTGCTCTAATAGTTGCTAGGGGCTTTTATAAGCCTGGGAGTCTGTAAAAGAAGCAGCCTAGTCGAAACCGGTTTGGCTCAGTGGTAGAGCGTTGGTCTGCGGACTGAAAGGTCCCAGATTCGATTCCGGTCAAGGGCATATACATTGGTTGCAGGCACATCCCCGGTAGGGGGTGTGCAAGAGGCAGCTGGTCGATGTTTCTCTCATTGACATTTCTAGCTCTCTATCTCTCTCCCTTCCTCTCTGTAAAAAATCAATAAAATATATTAAAAAAAAAAAAAAAAAAGCAGCAGCCTATCATACCTAAGAGAAAGGAGACGGAACTGCTATTTCTGTAGACTGAAATAAAGAATTGAGTGAACACAGGTTTCCATATGTCCTAAAGAGTGAGGTTCTTAGTACAGTACTATATAAGTAATTTGGGTAATTTAAACACCTCCTCTTCCCTTGGACATACAGTTTACCTAAATGCACAAGTGTATTTCTAAGGAAATAGATACCTAATTTCATAAAACAGTGGGAAAATATATTTTGAGAAAGTTTATTTTAAAAGCTTACATTCTAGTCATATACTGTAGATTTGAATTGTGTAAACTTGACACTATTACTTGGCATAGAGTTTGCCTTGCCATAACAGTAAATATGGGTTACAGTGTAGCATTTATATTGGTTTCTGTGTTTAAGTATTAAGCATATATTGGTGGAATTTTTTCACCTATAATATGATACTAGTTTTATTGAAAAGCACTGCAGTATTGCTTACTGTGGAAATTGTGTTCTGCAACAATGTGTGCATCTATTGAATAACCCATTTTCCTGATTAAAATAATAGTACGTGGTTGTTGCAGTTATTTTCACTATGTAAAATACAACTGTATTTAACACAGAAGAGAAAGATGGCTCCTAGATGGCTTTATTGAATACTCATAACTTTCTTAGTATTTATGGTCAGCCTCTTTCTTTCGGGGGAGTGGTGGCTATGTTTAGCTATCAGCAGAGGTACCTTGATAGTAAACAAGTTAAAAGAACAAACACGTTATTTGAGCAGGTTGTGCAGTGAGAACTTTTTGCTTGGCTTTTGACTTATAGTGGTTACGATAGAATGGGAACCTATTTAAGATTTATATTAAAATTTGTGATATGATGTGATTGTAAGTCGAAGGTAGAAAAGGAAATGTAGCATTTGTCCATAAAGAGCTCGTTGTAGCCTAGTTTCTAATGTACAGTTAAGTGAAAATGGCATTTATTTGTCACTAGCTTTGGATAAATAAGTTGCTTAAAAGTGGCAATTATTAATATGACCATTTTTCTGTGTGTGAAAACTATTAACAACTAGTCTTATGACAGGCCTTTTTTAGTATTATAATAAAAATAATTCTGAAGAATTAAAGTTATTTTTTTCTATATATAGTTTACATTTTTTGTTTTGTTTTTTCTTTAAAGGTTATTTTTTAGGTTAAGTGTACTGAGGATTGTTGATTTATCTATTTAAAGTCTCGAGTTTATTATACATTGTTTTGGGAGGGTAAACCAATAGTGACAGCCTTGAAACTAGGAGTTTACTGGAGTTAAGAGGACTGTTTCTTAACCTTGAATGAGTCTATGAAAAAATTTATGCTGATTTAGGTTCCCTGCTAAAACAAAGTTGAAGATAGGCAACAAAGGAAGTTAGATATTTGTAACACTGGATAATGAAAAAGTGAGTCTTCTTTAAAAATATGCTAATGTCTTTTAAAAAGATACTGTCCTATCTTAATACTTTATAAACAAATAAAGGGGAAATTGCATTTTTCCCAATGAGTAGCTGTGCCAGACTGAGATTTAAAATCTAAGATGTCTCTGATTACCTTGTTTACATTAGTTTCTAAGAAGTGGTAATTTTCAGTACTACTGAATAATTTTCAACATTAGTCATGCTAATGAAAGAATGCTTGAAAATGAAATGTACACATATATTTGTGCCATAACATTTTTATTCTGTACTAGAAAGCTTCACATAAACATTTAGGAATAAATTTGGTATTTTAATATATGGGATTTTTATTTCTATCCTAGTAAAATGAAAAGTTTTACAGTGTCACAGCACAAAGCCTTCTGATACGTATTATAACAAGGGCTGTGTTGATGTTCTAGGCACTGTTCCATCTACTACTATTCTACAGTAGAATAAATGAATGTTTTACCAAAGGATTTGTTTTATAGACAGGAAAGCAAAAAAAGAGAGAGGAAGATATTCTTAAATCAGCGTAGTTCCTGAACCAGTCTGTGAGACTGCAATTACAAGCAAATTATTTGTCCCTTTTTTTTTTTTTTTTTTTTTTCCAAAGTACTGAATATACTGCTTTTACAGTTTCAGTGAATCAAAAAGCCTGAATTGCTGTTCCTGCTCCAGGCTTCTGTCCAGAAATTTAGAGTATGTGAGATATTGTATAGATGGCTAAATATATTGTTTTGTTTTCATCTAAAAAATTAAATATGCTTAACAGCATTAGTACAGTTTTTGACATTAAGTTAAATGTAAAGGAAAAGTTGTAAGCAGGTTGCATGGTAGGAAGTCTTTGTTTGAAATTGTTTGATTTGAAAAGTTGTTGTTTTTAATTTCAACTTTTCAGAAGCCAATTTTCTGGTATAGGATATAGTCACTGAAGGGGTAGCATAAATAATGCATAACTGCATAAAAACTATGAACAAAAAGAGGTGGGATAAAAAAAACTAAAGACCATGTTACTAATTTTGTAATAAATTCTTGTGCTATATGATACTTAATGGATAATGTAGAATTTTAAAATACATATATTAGGCATTTACAAGCCAGGGGGGTTATTGTAAGCATTTCATGCTTTCTTTTTCCCCTTACTTTTTTTTAGAATGCTTGTCAGAATTTATCTTCCTAGTTAAGTTGCAGTAAGCAAAGATAGTGGTCAAACAGTATTGGGAGGTGTTAGTAATTGTACTAATTTTTTTCTATTGAACCTTAGCATGTGTCCTTCAATCTTTGAGTTTAGATAGGTATGTGCAAATATTTCAGGGTAGGATGCTTTGCATGGCTTAGTGAAAGCTTATTTTAAGATCACTAAGAATCTTAAGGTTATAAATTAGTGAAAAGGTAAAAATGTAGGTGGGGATTATAGTTCATGTTAGATTTATGCTCGAATTAAGTATTCATATTAAAATTGTTCGAATTTTAGGAACTAGGATGAAACATGAAAGGGGAGGAGGGTGAAGAGTATGGTAAAAAAACATTTAGAAAAATTCAGTAAATTCTTTAATTTTTAGAAACTAGACTTTTGAGCAGTTTTAAAGATTATAAAATTGTTTTTTAAATAAACTAGTTATTTGCACTTTACCTGCTGGCTTTTCCATTTGGTAGATAACATTCTGAACTCCAGCAGAGTTTTATAATCCCCACGTGCTTAAATATACTAAATGTTCTTTTTCCATTAAGGTTAATGTTCGTGAAGAAATGGAAGAGTTTTTTCCAAGAATGTGGAAGATAAAGCAAGATAAAAGAAGGCTAATGAAAAGTGTTAAAGATCAGAAAATTAAAATTGAATGGGGGAAAAAATTGAACAGAAGATTGGTCAGATAGAAGCACTTGAATATTTTTTTAAGGCTATTTTGAATTGTTTGAATTGGGGAAGAATACACGAAGTATGAAAAATGAAAAACTCAATGAAGAATGAAGAGAAGTAGAAAGCAAGAGTGAAGTAGAATTAAAAGAATCTGGAAGAATGAATGGGTCCTAGGTTAAGTAAATGTATGGTTTATGTTCCAGTGTCTGTATGATCAAGTTGTAGATGAATTTGCATGATTACTTAGTTAATAGAGAATTGGTGATCTGGTTCAAGTAGGGAATTATTGAGGACAGTTAGCAGTATTAACAATGGGCTATTAATGAGCTGAAATTTTTTCTGGAGGGTGTTGCCTAACCATTTGTTTTTCAGGAGCAATCAATATAAATAATTACGGTACTTTAAATGTTAGGTGTTAGGCATCTATGTGACCAGTGCCATTTGTAATACTGTCTTCTTTGTTAGGAGTCTCGCTCTCAGTCAAAATCTCCAACGGGAACTCCTGCTCGTGTAAAATCGGAGAGCAGGTCAGGATCTCGTAGTCCATCAAGGGTTTCCAAACATTCTGAATCCCATTCTCGATCAAGATCAAAATCCAGGTATGTGTGTTTAAAATAATACTTAAAATGCTTTCCTTGGGTTTTTCAGGGCAAAGTAGTGTTTGCTTTTTCTAAAATCCCTTATTCTTATCTCATTTTATATAGAAACTAGTGACCGGGTGCGTGCACATTAAAAGGGGATTAATTAGAGGAAATAATTTAATATTGCTATTTGCCCTCTATAATAGAAGTGTCAGAGATGAAAGAAAATTAGTAAAATGTATATGAAAGTCTTTCTCCTGTCAGAGTCTGGGACTCACCATGGGACCCAGAGTCAAGTCCCCGCCCACCCACATGCACCTCAAAATCACATGAGACCCAGACCCAGTCAGCCCCCCTCCAGCATTGCGCTAGAGCCACTCCTGTCCAGTCCCACCCTTGTTAAGCCCTGTTGGGCAGAGGGCGTAGCCTCAGGTCCCCCGGCCTGGCACCAGGACGGGGGTGTGGCCTGAGGTCCTCTGTCAAGCCCACCAGGTGGGGGACTTGACCTGAGATTCCCTCTCAAGTCCTATTGGGTGGGGGGCACAGCCGGAGGCCCCCTGGCCTGGTACTGGGGTGGGGGGTGCAGTCTGAGGGCCCCCAGCCTGGTGCAATATTATTTCCTCTAATCCCCTTTTAATGTGCACGAATTTTTTTGGGTGGGCGTGGCATGAAGTCCCCTGTCAAGCCCCACCTGGTGGAGGGCACGGCCTGAGGTTCCCTGTCAGACCCTGCCGGGTGGGGGAGGAGATACCACCTGAAATCTCCTGTAAAGCCCCACGGGGACAGGGAGGGCATAGCCTCAGGTCCCTGCTGATTGCTCATTAAAGCTCCGTATGGGAACTTGGCCTCAGCTGTGGGTGCAGCCATCTTTGTGATGGAGTGATGGTCAATTAGCATATTCCCTCTTTATTAGATAGGATTTTATCAAAGATTCAAATCATGAAGTAGTCTTTTCAAACTGTTTAGAAATGGAATTTAGAAATGAATAATACATTCTATATATAGACTTAGATATAAGGTAGAATTATCTCTAAACTATCAGATACTAGCTATTACAGCAATGTCAGTTGATTTAAATGTGCTTAACATTTGAGGATTAGTTTTTTATTTTATTTCAATAATACTTGCACAACAAAATAATTTTCTTGGCATATAATTTAGTGCAGAGAAAGTTGATGTAAGTATGTTATGCTAGTTACCAAAATGATTTGAGAAGCTTTTTCAAGATTCACATTCCATCTACATTCTTTGCCTGAAGATTCTGACTTAGGTCCAAGGTGCAGTGACCATCTTACTTTCTGTCTTCATGATTTTGACTAACAATGCTTCTTATAAATGGAGTTATAGCCAAAACAGGTTTAGCTCAGTGAATAGAACGTCAGCTTGCGGACTGAAAGGTCCCAGGTTCAATTCCGGTCAAGGGCATGTACCGTATTTTCCGGAGTATAAGATGACCCCCAAATTTTACAGTTAAAACATAGATTTAGGCCTATATTCGCTGTATAAGACTACCCCCCACTTCCGAGGCAACACCAGTTCTTTTTTTAATAGACCATCTCTCTGACTCTGGCCAATCTGAGCAGGCTTTTTACTAGAACACAGTGTAGCTTCGGGTACAGAACATGTATAATTTGCATGCATAAAAAGCCTGCTCGGATTGGCCAGAGTCAGAGAGACGGTCTATTAAAAAAAGAACTGGTGTTGCCTCGGAAGTGGGGGGTAGTCTTATACAGCGAATATAGGCCTAAACCTATGTTTTAACTGTAAAATTAGGGGGCCGTCTTATACGCCTGGTCGTCTTATACGTTGGAAAATACGGTACCTTGGTTGCAGGCACATCCCCAGTGGAGGGTGTGCAGGAGGCAGCTAATGGATGTTTCTAGCTCTTTATCCCTCTCCCTTCTTCTCTGTAAAAAATCAATAAAATATTTTTTTAAAAGAGTTATATAGTATGAGTGACTTGTTTCATTTAGCATCATGCCCTCATATTTCATGTGTTGAATATTGCAGAATTTCCTTCCTAGTGGTAGTTGGGCTGTTTGTTTTATTTTGTTTTTAAAAGAAAGCAGAACCTTAACATGCTTGTAAGGTAAGGTGAAAAGAGTGAATGGAGAAAGGAGAGACTGAGAACAAGAAAGAGATTGTTAAAAAAAAAAAGGGGGGGGGAGATTGTAATGATTAAGAGAATGAGAGGAAGACTACCATTTCTTCAGAAAGGAGCTGAGAATAAACAGGGATATGTGTATAGGTCCTTGGCATTAGCCATTTGTTTCAATATTACCTGCATTTTACTTTTCTCCAAGGTCGAGGTCAAGGAGGCATTCTCATAGACGTTACAGCCGATCCAGATCCCATTCTCACTCTCATAGGAGACGATCTCGAAGTAGGTCATACACACTAGAATACCGGCGTCGAAGGAGCCGAACTCATTCTCCAATGTCTAACCGGAGAAGACATACAGGCAGCAGGGTATGTTGTTTAAAAAAGTAATAAACTTCTTTTGTCTTTAATATGTGTTTAGTCATAGCATAATATCTTGCTTTATGAGAGCGAGACCATGGTTTAAAAAGTAGTTTCTCCCATGTGATACTGTAGACTGCCATGTGAATTTAGTACTAAAAAATGAAAATGGCCAGTGGGGAGTCCTAATCAGCAATTGCAGATAAAGTCAGATTGAGTACACATCTATAAGGCATGTAAAACATTTTAATAAACTAGAAATATGGCATTAAACTGAGGATGAATTATTACTATGCATTTTTCAAATTGCTAGGCTACAGTGTGGGATTTTGTTTTATTCAGGCTATAACCTGAAGTTTATTCCATGGAGGGCAGGAGTGTTATTGTGAACTGTAGGATCTAACTCATCAGTTCATTTTCCTCTTAAATTATTTTCAGCCTAAACCAGTTTGGCTCAGTGGATAAAGCATGGCCTGCGGACTGAAAGGTCCCAGGTTTGATTCCGGTCAAGGGCATGTACCTTGGTCGCGGGCACATCCCCAGTAGGGGGTATGCAGGAGGCAGCTGATCGATGATTCTCTCTCATCAATGTTTCTAGCTCTCTATCCCTCTCTCTTCCTCTCTGTAAAAAATCAATAAAATATATATTTTTAAAAATTATTTTCAAGTCATTTGAAACAGTGTAGTCTTTGGGTAAGGTGTTCTATGCATAGTATATCTGTTTTAATATTTACTTTAATTTGGAGCTTAAAATTAAATGACATCTTTATTCAACAGGCAAATCCAGATCCCAACACTTGTCTGGGAGTGTTTGGCCTCAGTTTGTATACAACAGAGAGAGATCTTCGTGAAGTATTTTCTCGATATGGACCCTTGAGTGGTGTCAATGTGGTTTATGATCAGCGAACTGGGCGCTCACGAGGATTTGCTTTTGTCTATTTTGAAAGAATAGATGACTCGAAGGAGGTAATTTTGTTTTTATAATTGTCACTTTGAACATTTTCTGATGTGCATGATTATAGTATTGAATTACTATTAAAAGTTGATTAATAGACTCCCAGTTTCATAAACATGTCCTCTTTCATTCTTGACCTGATTCAAAGTGTAACAGAATGGCCAGTTTCATTTTCTGGGACCCTTCAAAGAAGCACTTTTTAAAGCTTTTCTTAGGCATATTTGAATTGTCAGCATTGCTATTCCTTTGTTTTAGTGCATTTTTCAGTAAAATAAGGGTTACTTGAACACAAGCACTGATATTATGACAGTTGATTTGACAATCCAGATAGCCAAGCCACTAAGTGCCTAGTGGGGATGGGGGTGGGTAGAGTAGATTATATAATGTGAATGTACTGGACAGTGATAATTCACATCTGGGGAAGGACATGCACAATTTTTAAACTTAAGAATTGTTTATTTCTGCTGTTTTCCATTTTAATATTTTCATCCCGAGGTTGACTGTGGATGACAAACTGCAAATGGGGTCGGGGGTGGGGGGTTGCACTACTTTGCTTATTTCTCTTCTCAATTAAGGGATAAAGGTGTAAATTTAGAAATCTCAAGATATCTGACCTGAAGTAAATGTTGAGTGTGAACAAGTAAAGCTTTTGAAAATATGAAACTTGTTTGTACTCTCTCTTGACAACACACATACACACATACACACACCATTTATTCCTGGGCAAAATAAAATGAAAATGCAACTTTACTTAGTTCCAAAGAACTTCATGCAAATTTGTTAAGGTGATAGAATTATTATTGTATTTATTGGTATTAATGTCGAAGGTCAGAGGGAATATAAATGCAGGTATAAGACAGGAGTACGTACTGAGAGGTTCTTTTTGTGTTCACGACACTAGATGGCGGTGTGTTCTTAAGGAAATGCTTGGCTGGTTTAGACTTGTCAGTTGAATTGCAGTCTGTGCTTTGAGTTGCCCAGGCTGAAATCAGTCACTGCACCCCCAGAGTTATGCCAGTTTCCCTGAGTTGTATAGTTCCTTCCTTCTCTAGCTGCCCCAGTCTCTCAGTGCAGGCCTGCGTATGTTTCCATGTGTACATTAGAAAACTCACTGCTATTGACATGCACATAGCAGGGATTCATATGTTCAGTCATACTCCCTGTACTCCCTGTTGTTTAAAAAGAAGTGGTTAGAGCCTTTTAATTTTTGAAATTTCAAATGAAAATGTTAATTTATTACAGTTTTGATAGTCTCTCCTTGGTGAATTATGTATGTCTGACTGTGCCCTTTTTTTTTTTTTTTTTTAAGGCTATGGAAAGGGCAAATGGAATGGAGCTGGATGGTAGAAGAATTCGTGTGGACTATTCTATCACCAAGAGAGCACACACACCTACCCCAGGCATCTACATGGGCAGACCAACTCAGTAAGATTTCAAGTTTCCTAAGCTAAACTGTTTTAGCCAGAAGTCTACCAGATGTATCTACAAAATTTTGATTAGTAAAAAGATAAAATTTTCCCTATAAAAATGGAAATTTATTTAATTTGTATATTTTCTTTGAATCATTTCAAACAGTTGACCCTTGAACAACGAAGGGGTTAGGTGCACCAAATCCAGTGCAGTCAAAAATCCACAGTGAGCCGAGACCGGTGTGGCTCAGTGGGTAGAGGTCGGCCTGCAGACTGAAAGGTCCCAGGATCGATTCCGGTCAAGGGCATGTACCTTGGTTGTGGGCACATCCCCAGTGGGGGGTGTGCAAGAGGCAGCTGATCGATGATTCTCTCTCATCAATGTTTCTAGCACTCTATCCCTCTCTCTTCCTCTCCGTAAAAAATCAATAATATATATATATATTTGTGTGTGTGTGTGTGTGTGTATAATTTTTTTTTTTTTTAAATCCACATTGAACTTTCAGCTCTCCAAAAACTAAGTTTTCCCTTAGTATTTACCAGGGATTGGTTCTAGGACCCCTGTAGATACTAAAATCCATGATGCTCAAGTGCCCTAAGTGAAATGGCATGGATCAATGCAGACAGTTGTCCCTCTGCATGCACAGACTCCCAGCCATTGATAGAAAACAGTGCAGGTATTTATTGGGGGGAGGGGGGCAGGATCTTTGTATAAGTAGGCTGGTGTGGTTCAAATGTCCACTGCATGCATGTGTGTGTATGAATGAGTAGGAGGGTAAATTAAAACTATCGAAGTGCGTTTTTGGCTCTTGGTATTCTACAAATAGAAAATGTGTTAGATAGGAAAATATCATACATTCTTAAGAAACTATTGCTGTTTAGAAAGATTGAGGAGGAGAGAAACATTGATTGGTTTCCTCCCGAATGTCCTCCACCACTGGGGATCAAGTCGCAACCCAGCACATACCCTGACTGGGAATCAAACCAGTGACCTCTTGGTTCAAGGTCATCGCTCAACCACTGAGCCACACTGACTGGGCACTTCTTAGTGTTTTGGTATTGTTTTCCAGCACAGTTCATTTCACCCTGTTGAAAAGGTCCTGGTGATTTTGGCAGGGCATTAATAGAAGAGCAGTTTACAGTTTGGAGAGGTGTGTATAATCTTTCCTGGTTATTTATGTAATGAATAAGAAGCCAAGGCAAGAATACAGTGGTCGGCAGCCAACTAAGACATAGGTGATTGGCATGAAAGGATTATTCTTGGCCTTTTCTCACCTCTTTCCTCCATTTTATTTTACTCAAGTACCATTTTATATTAAGTGATATTGGGAAAATAATCGTTGACATTGATGTAAAAGGTTTACATTTTTCTGTAGTAGTGGTGGTGGTGGAGGCGGAGGCGGCGGCGGTGGTGGCGGCGGAGGAGGAGGAGGCGGCGGCAGACGTCGAGATTCTTACTATGAAAGAGGATATGAGCGTGGTTATGACAGATATGAAGACTACGATTACCGATACAGGTGATATTTAACTTGTGGTTTCTAAATTAGATGATAGTTGTATTACTTGGCACTTTCGATTTATGTTTAATATGTATTAAGAAAAATATTGAAAATATTTTATATGATGCTTTCTTGAGAAAATAGGAAAGAATTATTTTTTCAAAACTGAGTACAGATGTAAGTTATCTGTATTTGTTAGTATTTTGTTGTGCCATATACTTATTGTTTTGGTATCATTGGCACACAGAACTTAATAGTTACCATCTTGGGTCCATTATTATTTTGAATGATGGGAATTTTTATTTTTGTTTGTCTCTGGGTTATGCATATGCTAAGTGATATTTTGTTTCCTACAGAAGAAGATCACCTTCTCCTTACTATAGCCGATACAGATCACGATCCAGATCTCGTTCCTACAGCCCAAGTAAGTCCTCTGCTTCTGTAGCATTAAAAACTTGGTTTCTGCCGGGACCGGTGTGGCTCAGTGGGTAGAGCGTCGGCCTGGGGACTGAAATGTCCCGGGTTCGATTCCAATCAAGGGCATGTACCTTGGTTGCGGGCGCATCCCCAGTAGAGGGTGTGCAAGAGGCAGCTGATCGATGATTCTCTCTCATCGATGTTTCTAACTCTCTATCCCTCTCTTTTCCTCTCTGTGAAAAATCAATAAAATATATTTTTTTTAAAAAAACAAAAAAACTTTGTTTCTAATCATTAGTTTTAGAAAATTAGAGTGTATGGTGACTCTTACTGTATACAAGCCAAACTATAATTGTCATTTTAACTTTTTTTCTCTCTCTTTCAGGACGCTATTGATGAAGAGAATAATTACATTTGAGGATATCTTTTTCTCTCGTTGTTTAATTCTGGATTTCCCTGATCTTCTAATCCTTCCTACTTACAAAGAACCCAGAAAAAAAATCTTTGGTTTATTTAGCGTCTACACTTTGTCAATTGCATTGGTGTTTTCCACCCCTTTTATTATACTCTTAAAGATCTAATTGTCATTTTGAGTAGTTAAAACATCGTTAGTAAAAAAAAAAAAAAAAAAGGAATCCCCATTGTTACACTTTGGGTTTGTTTATTTTGTTTTTGCTTTTATAGAAAATTAACTTCTGGCTAATCAAAAGAGGAAAGAAATGATCTTTTTAAAGCTTCCTTTTTGTTAGATACTATATTAGAAATCTACATTTGTGACAAAATCCTTTTTTAACTTTTTTTTGGAGAAAATAGTAACACATAAAACAGTGCAGTCATGTCAGGTTTGTCTGGGGTGGCACAGAGCAGTTAAATAGTTGAGGTAGAAAGTTTGAAGCTATAAAACAGTTGATCATTTCTTTTGAAAACGAAAATTTAGAACCTTAAAAGGGGCATCTTTTTTTTCCTTTTTTTTAGAAATGGAACGCTTGTGGGCTCCTGTAAAACATTGTATTTAAACTACATCTGTTAAGCCTTACAAGCTTCAGTGTGGTTTTTTGTGTGTTGAACTTACTGAAATTTAAATATTCTCCTAATTAGTGAAGGATTGCCCTTATTATTTATTACTTAGAGCAATTGTGTGCTTTGCTGTTGGAAATCTTGGGTGCGGGGCAGTGGTTAAGCAGGCTGTTTGTAGGTTAGAGTCCTAGAGGATACGTGTGGGGAAAAGTCACCTCCTTTCAAATAAAGGTTAAATTGCTTTGAGAATGGGACTGTCTCTTTATTGTGTTACAAAGGGAAAATATAACAGGAATGATTTAGGAACCAGTTCTTCCTTTTCCTAACATTTTTGCTTATATCTAAATGTAATCCTTGTTTCTTATTCAGTTGTTAAAAACCTTTGTTTTACTTTCCCATTTTGGGGGGCCACATTGTAAATATTGAGAGTATAGTATCAAGCACCATGCTGAAGGAAAGATGATAAGGTTCATGTCTTCAAAAAGTCCACATTTTAATAGGAAACACACTGAAATGATGGTACTGTAATGTAAGAGGAGGGTGTTTTAGCAAAGAGGTATCTTATCTGATGTGTCAAGTGATCTTTATAAAAAGGTTTAGAAGATGGACATCTGTAATACTGTCAACAATAAATATATATTTTTTAAAGTAGAGGAGCATGAGCAGCTTTGTTTTCTCCCCCAAAGCAGATATGAAATTAGATTATCATCTGTATAATAGATTTATGGGATTGAAGTACCTCAGATTTTTTTTCCCAATATATTTTTATTGATTTTTTACATAGAGGAAGGGAGAGAGACAGAGCCAGAAACATTGATGAGAGAGAAACATCGATCAGCTGCCTCCTACACAACCCCCACTGGGGATGTGCCTGCAACCAAGGTACATGCCCTTGACCGGAATCGAACCCAGGACCTTTCAGTCCGCAGACCTACACTCTATCCACTGAGCCATACCGGCCAGGGCTACCTCAGATATCTTAATTAAAAAACTACAAAATGTTTTGTCTTAATTTTTTCCCCCCAGTAAAGCCTATTCAAAGAACAAAGCAATGTCTTGTTGGATCCTGGTTGAAGGATTTTTGTTCTTATTAAAAGATTGGGAATCATTGTCTTAAAGAGAATGTTAATAATCTGTTGACTGTGGGAATACTTTAAAATGTAAGAAGTATATCAACAAAAAGTGATGATATTAGCCACAGTCTGGAAGAAAAGAGCCATGTGAAGAGACTAAACATAATTAAACATATAGACGTGTTATATATGTGTTGATGATAAAAAAGCAGGGAAGGAGGATAGTTAAATAGGGGGCGGGCAAATAAAATTTAAAAGACCAATCTTTGAAGTCTCCCCTAAGAAGGTGAAATTTAAGTAAAATCTGAAGGGAAGGGAAGGAGTCTTATCTGGAAGGAAGAGTGTGTTGGGGTGTAAGAAACAGCAAATGTATTGGCCTTACAAGGCAGAATACCTGGAGTGTTTGACAAGAGAAGACAGATGATAAGTAAGGGCTGGGCCCTGCTGAAAGGGTTTTGGAGGTTTCAACAGGCAGGTTTTTTTTATAGAAGGGAACTTTGTCAGAAGTGAGTGCATGGGTGTATTGCTTCAGATATATGGGTACATGTTAGGCTTAAAGACTAGATGTGAGAGATACAAATCAAAACAGTGCAGTACCATCTCACACCTGTCAGAATAGCCAACATCAACAAACGACAAGTGTTGGCGAGGTTGCGGAGAAAGAACCCTCGTGCACTGCAGGTGGGAATGCAGACTGGTGCAACCACTGTGGAGAACAGTATGGAGTTTCCTCAAAAAACTGAAAATGGAACTCCCATTTGACCCAGTAATCCCACTCTTAGGAATATATCCCAAGAAACTAGAAACACCAATCAGAAAGGATATATGCACCCCTATGTTCATAGCAGCACAATCTGCAATAGCTAGAATTTGGAAACAGCCTAGGTGCCCATCAGCAGATGATTGGATCAAAAAACTATGGTATATCTACACAGTGGAATATTATGCTGCCATAAAAAAAGGAATTCTCATTTGTAGCAACCTGGATAGAATTGGAGAACATCATGCTGAGTGAAATAAGCTAGTCAATGAAAGAGAAATACCACATGACCTCACTCATTTATGGATATTAAAGAACATTATAAACTGATGAACCAAAAGACAGATATAAAGACAGTAAAGCAACAAGCAGACTGTCAAATTACAGCGGGGAGGGTAGGGAGATCTGGGGGAGATAAGAGATCAACCGAAGGACTTGTATACATGCATGTAAGTACAACCAATGGACACAAAACTCTAGGGAGGGAAGGTATGTATCGGGGGAGGGGACAATGTTAAAATATGTACACAGATAATTTAAAAATGTTAATAAAAAAATTCATTTCCCTAATTACTAAAAAAATAATAAAGACGATGTGTTACATTGCATGGATTTGGATGTGCAACATACAAAAAAATAGTATTTCTGGGCCTCTTTTTTTTTGTTTTTTGTTAATCCTCATCCAAGGATATTTTTCCCATTGATGTTTAGAGTGGAGGGGGGGAGACACTGATTGTTTGCCTTCTTCATGTGCCTCAACTGGGGCCAGGGATCCAGCCTGCAACTGAGGTGTGTGTATACTTAACTGGAATCGAACGTGTGACTCTAGTCCATGGGCTGATGCTCTGTGCTTTCATCAAAACTGGCTAGGGCTGTTACCTATACTGATCGAAGGTAAGAAAAACTTGTTCTAACTCCCTGCAACAGTGCTTCCTATTAATTGGGGAAGCAGGGAAGAATGATCATGGAACCCTTAAAAACAGGATAAAAGTACAATCTGTCCTAGAAGAACTAAAGATGTAAGACAATTTGTGTATACAAATACTAGATTTTTAAATCTCTGTGCATAGGATAAAATCTATAGGAATATGCACCAGTTTTCTAACAGTGGTAGTTAACCTGTAAAGTAGCAAACAGGAGAGGCAACTTGTAGAAAAACGGCAATTTTACATACAAGTTAAGGAACATGCATACTAGTACTTCTGGAAAAAAGCTCCTGTCACACACTACCCATAGATTCTCAAAGACTCGTGGCTAATTTTTTAGGATGTGGCTTAGAACACTTGAATTTCCTAGCACTCTGAGGACTATGAAGCACAAACACATATTGCTTCATTATGGCAATTAAAAGTCTTTATTTGTAATCCTGTATAATAAAAGCCTAATATGCTAAGTGGCCAGTTGGCTGTTCAACTAAAGCGTAATATGCTAAGGCTGCTCAGCCACTTGGCTACGATGTGCACTGACTACCAGGGGACAGACAGTTGACCGGTAGGCCAGTTGCCATGATGTACACTGACCACCAGAGGGGGCAGGTGTTCCAACCAATAGATTAGCTGACTGCTGGTGTCCAGCTGATTGGGACTGAGTGAAAAGGACTGACATGCCCTGGAGCCCTCCTATGGTCCCTCCCCAGCTGACCGAACTCCCACATCCCTCCTTGGCTCTGATCCTGGGCCTGGCCTGTGCCCTCACTTTCGGCAGACAGCAGAATAACTGGTCGCATTGGCCACCAGAGGGCAGATGCTCACCGTGGGAGCTGCTCCCTGGTCTGTGTCCTCCCACAGCCGGAAGCAGGCCTAAGCTGTCAGACATCTCACATCCTGAGGGACCCTCAACCCCAAGTGCACGAATTTGGGCCTCTAGTGTAAAATAAAGGTTTATTTGTTTAAAATGTGTCCACTTCTGGATGCCAGATTCATAGGCATATGAATTTCCTTTTTCCCATCTAACTGAAATTAGGTGGATTTAAATGGTCAAAATTGGTGCATTTTTGTATTACAAAATGTACATTAAAAGGTAAGGTGGAGCCAAAACTGGTTTGGTTCAGTGGATAGAGCGTCGGCCTGCGGACTGAAGGGTTCATGGTTTGATTCCAGTCAGGGGCATGTACCTTGGTTGTGGGCACATCCCCGGTGGAGGGTGTGCAAGAGGCAACTGATTGATGTTTCAAACTCTCTATCCATCTCTCTTCCTCTGTAAAAAAATCAATAAAACATATTAAAAATTAAAAACAACAACAACAATGAGTTGGGGATAAAATTGAAAAAATTGAGACTGTCAAAGAGGGCCTAAATAGACTCCCTCAAGTGTGAGCATTGACACATGGGTAATGGAAGCACCACAGTGTCAGGAGACTGTGGCTCTGATCACTTTCATTTGGGAGAATTGAAAGTACGTGAAGAGGAGAATGGGGAGTTAGTGTTTAATTTGTGGAGTTTCAGTTGGAGAAGATGAAAAAGCTGGATGGTGGTGATGGTTGCACAATGAATGTACTGAATACCACATCTGTACGCCTACAAATGCTAAATTTTATGTATAGTTTACCAAATAAAAGACCCCAAAAAAGCTAATATAAAGATCCCCATATCTCTAACTTGATACTATTTCTTGGTGCTGTATTCTGTAATTTGAAAATTGTGAAATGACTAGGTTACCAATGAGATGATTGCTTGCTCTGTGACTGCTCCATCACCAGGGCCTAGTACAGATCCTGGAATGGAGTAAGTATCGAATTAATGGAAGGGAATGAGGGAGGAGGAATGAATGATTGGTAGGGCCTATTAACTTGGTAAATTTCCAAACAGAAACTTCCTTCAAATTAAACTTGTGAGCTGAAATATAAAAGGAATGACAGAAGTCTAGGTTGAACATATATTTAATCGTCATAACCCCCCAAAAAAGAATCACTTTTAAATCTGTTTAGTTAAGGAAGAGAAATGACAATTTAACATAATTATAAAAGTATTGGTGTTTAAGTCACCTTGTAAATTCATTTATATTGAACGGATCCCTAATCTCTGTTAAGTGTTCTATTTGATATTTGTAAAGTCAAGTGCAGAGAAGTCCAATAGGAAATGTTCTTTTAAACATAAGGGACATGACTTATTTTCAAGTACTGTACATTAAAAATTCACTAATCACCAAAACCAGTTTGGCTCAGTGGATAGAGTGTCAGCCTGTGGACTCGGGTCCCAGGTTCGATTCCGGTCAAGGGCATGTACCTTGGTTGTGGGCACATCCCCATTGGGGGGGTGCAAGAAGCAGCTGATTGATGTTTCTTACTCTCTGTCCCTCTCCCTTCCTCTCAGTAAAAAAATCAATAAAATATATATTTTTAAAAACAACATGTGCCCAAACTGGTTTGGCTCACTGGATAGAGCGTCGGCCTGCGGACTGAAGGGTCCCAGGTT